CACACTGAAAGAGCTGTATGAATTACTGGGTGGGAGGATAAACACAATTGGGATCGCGGGTTATACCCTCTGTGGTTTGAAGTGCAGAACGTGCACCAGGCCTCCACGGGGGGAAGGTCCCAGTCCGGTTAAAATAAAGATTCAGTACGTCCTGGACCTTAGAGCAAAGCTGCACATTTTGGGGAGGTTATTGCAAGAGAATTTGCTCGAGGCCCAATAACATCAGCAGCGCCTGTTCAGTAGAGGGGCTACACTCAGGCAATTTTCGTTGGGAGATAGAGTGCTTGTGTTTCTCCATTCTTCTAGTTCCAATTTACTCAACAAGTGGCAAGTGGGGGACTTTGACTATGAAGTGATCAGGTCAGACAGGGTAGGAGTCGCACAAGTATATGATCTCAACCTCCTTAAAGCATGGAAAGAGGCTGAAACCACATCTCTGGTGAGCCTGGTGAAGGAAATAGATGAGTTGGGGCTGGAGGTGTTAAATTCCACCATTCCTGCCTCCCTCCATTGTGTTGACCATGGCACACAGGTCCAGAGAGCGGATGTTGCCACGTTGTAACAGGATTTTGTTCAGACAAAATTGGCCAAAATGAGTTTAGAGGTATAGTGAGAGACTGGGCTGGCTGAAGGGATCTCGGCACATAACAATGCTCGCAGAGACACCCGTCCACAGGACGAGCTCTCCAGGAGAAGCCAGCTTGGAACCACTAGATGATCAGTGTCATGCATCCAGTGGAGCAGCACCCTGATATTGGCTGACCAATAATAGAACAGAAGGTTAGGCAGAGCCAGTCCACCTTGTGGGCGTGGCCTTTGCAGGATGCGTGGGTTCTTCTTGTTCCAAATGAATGACGATATTAGCTTGTCTAGAGAGCTGAAGAAATGTTTGGTCAGATATATAGGGAGGTTTTGGAATAGATAAAGGAGCCTTGGCAGCAGGTTCATTTTAATATATTGATCCTCCCGCAGAGAGAGAGGGATAACAAGTTCCAGCAGTGGATGTCCCTTTTCAGACTCTCCAACATTGGCAGGTAGTTTACTTTATAAGATCTTTGTAACAGTCGGAGATCCAGATTCTGAGGCATTTAAACTTTTTATTGTTTATTTTGAATGGTATTAGATTAGATGGGATATCTTTTGCAGCTCCATTGATTGGGATGAATTCACTTTTC